CATTGTCGCTTCTCTTGATAGATTTTGCATTGCAATTTCAACAGTTTCTTATGTAGTCAGATATGCCTTATTTCAGAGGACAGCTGATTTGATAGCAGCAGTAACGATAATGTCATGTTCTACGGTTAGCACGGAAGCATTGAGCTGATCAATGCTTTCAACAACTCATAGAGTTGAATTGTCAAATAAAACGGATCCGAATCAAACCCAAGCACAGATTCAAACATTCGTTTATTAAATAAAATTAACAAAAAAAACATACCTAGCCTCTTTGCTCGTACCTCTTCTAAATTTATAATTTCCTCTTAATATGTTTTTGTATGTTTCCAGGGCGCTTTTCCCACTGTACGGAGTAGCTCTACAAACAGTTTTACAGACGCTCAAGCTTCTGGTGCACAACGGTGCTTACCCTGAAACCATTTCATAGATCAGAATTCCGACGGACCACCAGTCAACGTTCTTTCCGTAACCTTTGCCTTGAATTACTTCCGGAGCCATATATTCCGGCGTTCCACATATGGTCCAAGTAATGCTAAAATTGAATATCGCGCTAAGAATTTTTCATCCATTTCTTGCAAGACGCAGTGCACATCTTTGCATATTCTAAAATCCGTCGGATAACTAATTTTTCTAAGCATGTTGAATAATGACCAACTCAAACGGCCAGAACACATGATGAAACCAGAGGTAATCCATGCTGAATAAATCTTATGAACTGAAAATACTGCTGGAACAGGCCGACTATCATAAAACCTACTTTATAAACTTTGTGACAGGCTAGCAACTACAAAAGCATCAGTGTGTATGCTCGAATAATCTTATATAAGGCTTACCCCTCGTAGAATTGAGGACAAGATGCTTCCAAGTGCTCATGAATTGAAAAGTAAAAATACTGTTTTGTACCTGAAAACACTAAAACGAAACTAAAATTTATCTGCCAGTGAAGTAACGCTAGGCACGCACTGCTAAATCTTTTTCAGGTAATTTGCTAAACAGTAAGTGTAAGATTAATAAAACTCACAATAGGATTATTGGAAACTACAGTCCGTATTTAATCTTACGGGAAGTATGATATATGTAATCCATAACGCCGTTTATGCACTGGGATGGAGACGACATTTACTGGATTGAATAGAGAAGAGGCTGGAAAGTTTATCAAAATGAAAGCAGACTGTTTTGCGATCAATCTTTATATGAGGGAATGTTGTAACGGTAGTTAAAACTGACGAAATATGAGCGACGCCGGAAAGAATATTTATCTTGCACTAAAACTTGAAATAGTGCCGTAACGAAAATTTGACTTGAAAAATTAATATTTTTGAAAGTAGCAGCCTTTGAAAGAATATAAACTACTATAAATTAGATACTTCTCATAGTAATCTCACGTACAGAATAGAGTTCAACTTACACGCGCAATAGCAAGAAACATGTGGTCAAAATGCTGAGAAGTCTAATGCGTAAGCCTATGGGAATCTACTACTGTGTTTCCATATATGAAACACATTGACTGTGCATGTCCAATAGTAAATAATGGTTTGGCTACCTCAAGAAATGAAGAAGCAGCCAACAGTTACGTGCACGAGTGCTTCACAGTGAGGTATTAGAGTTGGTTTCTCTGGAATTTTGAATTCTTCTCCAACTCTGATCATTTAATAAAGAAAACGAAGGAAGCACGTTGAAATAATTTTAGTTAGTAACGTAAGTGACGGTTACAGTAAGCATGAGGTGAAGTACATCCTAAAGTAATCTGTTCAGCCATTACGGCAGCCACAAGGACAGTACATTAACTCAGAAATGATCCGCTAAACGAACATAAACGAAACACTGTAAGGAAATAAGTGCAAGTTTCTTGTTATTAACCTGTGACGTTCTTAGTTTAAACCTAGCGTCAGAGTTCCTATGAACGGTTCTACCCGAATAATAGAGCTATTTTAGGTTAGTTGTTGAACATAGCGAATGCTAATTTATCAGCGAATTTTTGGCTAATAAGGGTTCCTGCAAACCGATTACTAGTAATTCATTAAATCTGAATATTACCGTTTACTACCGATTACTGAAAGAGCCATTTGAGAAAGAACAAGAACAATGAAAAGTACATTCGGTTGATGAACGCCTAATTGGCATTTCGATTTATGCTGCACTGATATTCTTCACCTCATGAACCGGAAGATTTAAGTAAAAACAACGACTGCGGTCAACGTCAACCAACGAACAGTATTAAGCCTGAAAAATTTCTAAGACACCGGAAAGTGAATGAAAATTTTGTTGATCGAACAGAACTGGTGCATAGTTCTAAATAGTTCCTACTGTACACCAGAAAAATAGCATAAATTGAGTTCTTGCTTAAGAATTAAGGGTTAAGAATATAACGGTACTACTCTTTTATGCTGAGTATTCTAAGTTATTGGACCGAATTAGCGTGTGAAATAGAAATTCGGCGATGGTACGCAAAGGAATATGTTGGTATGCAAAAGGCAATGCTTAGGCTCACACTTATGCTGAGGCGCTATTTTTATTTCAAATCCTTTAAAACTATAAGAAACTCAAGTTCTCTTACCTTCAAGTGACAATTTAGCGAAGTGATTAAAAACGGAGCATATGTTAGAATCAATCATTTGTTTGATCGACTTTTTAGCTTTCACGTGCATTCACTTCATTTGCAGCCTCATAAATCCTGACTGCTTCTGAGTGTACCTGCCTAAAGAAAACAACCGAGAGAACGTTTGAAGCAAGAAGGAGAGAAAAAACCATTGCAACCGGTTTTCGAAAGTACGTTAGCATAAACGTTTGGAGATATGCGAAAGTCGCGATGGTGAAAGGCATGCCACAACTTTTCCTCCTATGAACTGCTTCACGGAACGGCATGCCCCATGGACTGAAGCTGGTCGTTCACGTCTAACAGAGCGAGAACGGATAAGAACAGTTCTCGTGATTCGACGGCTGAAGTACTCGGCTTCGGAGGAAAGGGAATAACACATAACGGCACTGCTGCAAAGCGTAAATTTAAACAATTGACACCGCGTTCGTCGTAACAAACGAGCTGTCAGGGTGAAAAACACTAAGCAAGGGAACTGTTCATTATTTCGCATGATCTACCGAGCCAATGCCGGAAGAAAGCATCACGAAAACAAATGCGATGATTCAGTGTTTGTGTCACGCGATGTACATCGAATGTGAAGATGTGAAATTCTCAATTGCCAACAAAGGTTAGAACGTTTTCATAAGCAGAGGAAAATTAGTAATTTGAAAACATTTTCGTTGAGAACAGGCGCCGACACTACCGTCCGGAATACCAAACCGACTTTTCCGCTGTGGAGGAGGATTGTTTAGTTTATCATGTAAAGTAGATGACCGTCGACGAGTTATTACTAATACGTGACATCAGAAATATGCAACACTCAATGATTTGTGGGCACTGCCAGTCATATCGTATCACGTCACTGGACTGATGTCTCTGGGCTTCTAGATGCCAAGGGAACTGCATAAGCTTTCCATGACTCCGTGGAATTTGAGATTCTGGAAGCAATATTGCATCACTGTGCTGTACCGAATAAGATCGCACCAGGATATACACTAAAATGCAATACAAACCATAGGTATATCCATATATATATAGTGCCAGTTCTCGAAATAGCGACAACGATTGAACGAGCATATCTGATAAATCACCAGACAACCATCCAAGACTTCGCCAAATTAGCTGCTGTCGAATTTCAAAAGTTTCAGATCACTGGATTCAATCTAAGTACATCTGAATAAACTGCCCTAAAACAACTGGAAAAAGATGGCAACATCGCCATAATGAAAGCGGATAAAGGA